CATCCACGCACTTCGCACGCTTGATCCGAGATCCACGCAGTTCTCCGCTCCCGTTCGAAACTCACGCAGTTCATTCGGGCGCCGAGCCGTGGCAGGCCGAACCACGCCACCCGCCGCTGGCCGCGCTCCGCGCTCCGCGCCGCTGCGCGCCCCCACCGACAAGAAAGAACATTCTCTATTCGAACTTACGTTTTATCTCGTCCGTAAGGCGCCATGGCCTGCTGCTCCAGCGAGTATGCAATCCGGCAAGTCAGAAGTCACCCTACAAATGTGTGCACTGTTTACACTATGCACCAAAACAAATGAGCTGGCCATAGGTGATGTTCGTTGCGGAGGTTCGAGACACCTACACGAGCGAAATCAGAAGCCGGCAAGCGGGAAGCGAGCGGGCAAGCGCGAGGACGAGGGGGAGCGACCGAGCCGAAGGAGAGCCGAGCGGCTCGGGCGCGACGGCCGAGCGCCGTGAACTGCGTGAGTTTCGAACAGAAGCGGAGAACTGCGTGGATCTCGGATCAAGCGTGCGAAGTGCGTGGATGTCGGATCCAGCGGCCGAACTGCGTGTATGTCGGATCCAGCGGCTGAACTGCATGCCTTTTATTCCAAGGTGTCGCAATGTGTTCGCAATCTTTGGATCTCGTTCGGCAATAGGGCAAGAAACAGAATTCCAATCAGAATAAGTTCGGGAGTTGATAACCTATACAAGATTAAAGAAAAGGAAACATCAGCGAGTGCTATTTCAAAAAGAAAGAAAGAGAGAAGTGGAGAGGTTATGAGCCAACACTGAAACTACAGAAAACATAGGACCTGTTTTTATTTTCAGTGTCCGGAGTTAACTTTTATCAGAGTTTGGTTAGTAGCCATTTCCGTGTGTTATTCAATAATTTCTAATTACGTTTCAGATGCCGCTGAAGGATGATTTCAGCGTCCGACAGTCTTTATCTACTTGGAAATGGCTTTTGGACCCGAATACAGTGCTTTGTGTCCGACGGCGTATCTTCTCTCTGTTTGTTGCGAGTATTGTAAGATATCGCCTCAAATCATACTTCCCATTTGGTTATTCATTGGTGTAAAGGATGTGGAATAGAGCTCTTAATAACAGTCCTAGACGTGAATGTGAATAGGGTATTCCGGGTAAGCTTGGCGCCGTAAACGGGAGGCGAAGATGGCGGTGGTCAGATCTCAGCCTCATGGCTACTGTCATACGGGAATGCGCCTAGTAATACATCCGAGCAACTGGGTCATTCCATGCCAAACGTACCCCCCTAATTTTTTTTTTTGACGAAACTTGGTGGAAACGTTCCCTTAAGTGGTCCGACGACCACCTGCAAGAGCGTTTCGGCCTTGCGCGACGGGTTGCCTACTTATCGGGGGTCAAAGATTTCCCGCCACTGCGCATCCCACTCGATCTAGCGAGCGCCACGATCCATCTTTTTTCAAACGATCAACGTCCTCAGGGTTAAGAACTGACCCTCTTTCGAATGCGCTTGTCCATTCTCCAAAAATATTCACGCGACGTAGCAAAAACTCGATGTTTAGTTTCAAAATCGGATTTTGGCCAAGTATGACACCTTTGATTTGCTTGAGAGTAGGCTCATTGGAAAGCCCGTTCAATTTCCTGAAAGACCCAACTTTCGGTATCATGGGCAGACGCCTACGAGCGACGCTACGGGGCCGAACGCAAGCCGCCCGCGCCGCTCAGTGGCGTGGCCTAGCGTGGCGTCGAGCTGGCCGGGCCCCAACTGACATGTTTAGTAAAGGCTTAATCTATTCTTTTACGCCCGATTTACATATTAATTTTTTTTTCATGGTTTGACTTTTATAGCCAAACTCCGAAATCTGTTACACATTGCCCCACCCTCCCTAAAAAGGAAAACTCGCACTGGTCCCCAAACTCAGAAAAGTTGTTAATAACTACCTCAGGTTCCACAAAGGGGTCACTATAAACTCTCGCGTACACCGATTTTTTGTGTTTTTCTTGAATTTTTGTGATTTTTTCTCTCTTCTTGTGATTTTTTGTGATTTTTTGAGGGTTTTTCATGATTTTGTTATGATTTTTTATTATTGGTTCGTAATTTTTTGTAAGGATGAACTCAAGACTGAACGCAAGACTAGGTGTAAGACAGGCCACAAGAGTAAACGACTGTACTGACTTTCACAGCTAGACGACTCGCAGGGCTAGATCGATTCTTCACCGGAATCACTAGCTAACTTGCAGGACCAGTCCCTCTATGTCTGTGAATAATCGCGTCTCGTAGGAACGTCGCTTTCAAGTTGACTATGCTTGCTATATGCCGTCTTCGAACGTTTTTGATTCTGACAACCTGCGCCCCTTTTCGAAGCGCCTCCTTTATTTCAGTGTGCATTGGACAACGTTAAATTTTACCTCTTTTTCAGGCCTCTCAAATGCTTGTCGGGTCCCTCGTGGTCCTCCTTTTTCTTGGTGCAGCACACGGGCAAAATTTGATAGCCGCTTCGAACTCTGCCAACGTTTGCTGTGGCTTCTACTCCTGCTTAGGGGCCGATGTCACATTCTTCTGGCGGCAGCGCAGAGCGTACAGCATCGTCGAGCAGTTGGAACTGTTGTATAAGGATGTCGAAAGGCTGGCCGTTACTAGTGATGCGGTGCGTAAAACTCAAACTTAGACCATTTTCGTGGGATAAATCTGCAGTCAATTAGACTTGCCTAATGTTGGCTCATATGATTTTGTTTTGACTAAATTACTAGGAAACATACCATGAAACAAAGGCGCTATAGTGAAGAGGTTGTATTGCGCACAATGTGCATGAAGTCCGCTTTACTGCTTGGAAACCCGCAAAGTTTTCATTTTTCGGAGTGAACGGCGTGATTTGGGACAGCGTAGTTTTAATCGCAGAAAGTTGTACAAAAAGGCACGCTACACGCCATCCCCGAAAACTGAAAACTTTACGCGCCTATTTGTTTCGCTAGTAGGTAGTAGGAAAGCGGACTTCATGTGCGTAATATAGCGTCTTCGCCAAGGCGAGACAAAAATTCAAATAATTATAGATTCTACAGCACTTTTAATTTTCATGGGAAATTGTTTTCATGGTAAAGATAGGCAAGTGCCCAATGGGATAGGTTACACGGAAAAAACGAGTCGGTTGCGTTAACCCGTAACTTGGTCCTCACAACCGAGTCACGGTGTTACTTTTGGCTTTACTAGAAAGTTGGTTGTGTCAACTATACATTTTAGTAAAGGTAGCCTGGTCATGCCAACTAACATGAGATGGTCATAGCAACCGAGTAACCTTAGTTCGGATAACCGAGTAACTAGTGAAGAAAGTAAACTTTTAAATCTTTTAGAGGCACTTCCACCTCGTTCCCTCACCCTTCCGAGTGAAGTGACCATCTTGCTAACCCAGTAAGGCCCTCACGGAGGCGTCATGTGTACGCAGCGGTCGGGACTTGAACCCCGGCCGCTGCGGTAGCGAGACCTCCGCCATACCACTAGGCTATCGCGACGCGTACGATAGAGCGTGCCGGACAACGACCACGTGCCGCTGCCGACGCGATCCCGGAGCCACCCGGAGCGGGCGGTGGGCAGCAGCAGGGAGTGGGGCAGGTGGGGGGAGTGGAGGGGGGATAGCCGAGGCACCCCGAATCCCGAAGTGCAACCGATGGCATATGCTTGCAACAACCATCTCGAGTGACAATCTGAAATAGTTGTGGCAAACAAGTCGCCTGGGTACCAACATCCCAAAATCAGTTCGCCCAACTAAATCCGGTGGTGGCCCCGCCAACCGGCAAATATGCCGGTTACCCCAACCAACCTTTTATTTCCGTGCTCTTCATGGAAAGACAACCGTTCCATGAAGTCCTCTCGCATGGTGATCATTTTTCCACAGGGGTCCGTAAGCAATGCTGCATTAGCAATGAAAGGGCACTGTTTTGCTCATGGGTCCCGCCTACTTCACCATGCTGAAGTATAGTGTAAGAAATCGTAGACTTTGTGTCGGATGCAGTAAGCCGAATCAACCACTTCGGTAAAGCAGAAATGCAGAAGAATACGAGGGACAAGAAAACGGAAGTCACCATGTGAACCCTTAGAGGCCCGCGACCAGAAGCTGCGATCAAAAAACTTATGTTGCTTGAAATTCTTCTTATCAACCACCTAAATAGACGAGAACAACAAAGAAATCCGAAATTCCCAACATGTAGTTTATAAACGGTAAGGGGCGTACGGATATAGAAAATTTGACGATCCCTAATATGCTGACTTTTCGATCAAAATTGGTGTCATTGTGTGAGTCTCGACTCAAATCTAAGGAATATGAAAAAAAAATTGGCATTTTCGCCCTTAGGACCCGGGAAATGGGGCCCGTTTTCGGTGGCCTCTGTTCGACAAGCGGTGCAGTCAGCTTGTCCTACCCCCTTTTTGTCCTACCTGAATATTTCAATTCAAAAGTCGAATATTTTAATAAAAATTTGGAATATTTTAAATGATTTAGAAAATTGGAAAATATCAGATTTTGGTGTCCTACCTTAAAGTTGACCAACTAT